AAAAACAGCCAGTTGAATGATGGAGAATAAGTTCCTGTCTCTGCAGGCCAGCTGAATTCTTATTACTTCATTAAAGTTTTCATTAGCCGTGTAATTTATTTTCATCGTTCAGCTCCGTCCCTCGATTAAGCTAACATATATTTCTTTAGTTCAAGCCGACTGCTTCCGTATCTTCTTGACTCTATCAGAGCATATATCTGACTTATTCTCTTTCATTTTTTTCCCATTATCTCCATGTTAAAGATATGTTCTAAATTTTCTGTTGTATTTATTCAATTATCTCTGATCTCGACAGAAAGGTTGCAAGTATCTCAGCCTATCTTTCTTTATTGTTTTTAGTTCATTTTTCATTCATATGCTTGTGTCTGGTTGTTCCTTGCCTCAGGTGTAGAGCTCATGTATTTGGTCATTTCTACTGATTACAGGGTATGTTTTACTATGAATTAACTTGCCAATTTTTTCTTCAGACTTTTATGGTATTTCATGTTGGTATATATCTTTATGCTTCATATTTTCTGTCCTCTTTTTTTCTTTTTTGCTTGATGGAAATCTAATTTGTGACTGAGCATTGTCAAAGGAAAGAGAGAAGCAGCAAAAACTAACTCTATGCTTAACATAAGAAGACCATCAACTTTGAGCTTAGGAGAGGGTTCTACACTTTGTAAGTGACCTGCATTTAATTAAAACCCCACTCAATTGAACCATGCATGAGTTTGAGTGGGAGAGTGGGGTGTAAAGAGTACGAATCAGATGATATCAAAAGAGAACAAGCATATTTTTGTGGTGGGACTACCCTGTTACACTTTCAAAGTAATACTCATGGCATGCTTGGAGTAATTACAAAAGTAATGGGCAAAACAACGTACAGGAGCTAGCTACTTATCTAGGTGTCATGAAGGAGTGTGTGTAATGAGAGAGATGAATCAAAAAAGAAGAAAAGTTTTTTTTTTAATATCTCTATATACCCTCCAGATCTATCCTATTGCAGATTTTATATTTGCTAACTTAATTAAGAGTATATTAGGTATATTTGAAATTTTTTTAACAATTTGACATATATTACGAGAATATACCATGGTAGAAAAAATGAATATAAAAATTCAATCCGAGAAATAAAGGGACAAATTAAGAAATACGCGCTGTGGAGGGTAAATCTGCAAAAGAGTAATTTGTTGGGTATATGCCCCCAAAAAAAATCAAGAGAGAGGAGAGACATAAGAAAACAAGCATATAAGCATCCTTAAAAAAAAGGGGTTATTACGATATTAGCTCCCCAAATCTTCAATATTTCGGTATTACTAATTTTAAAATGTCTGGGTCACGTGTATTTATATTTCATATTAGAAGACCACAGCGCACTGTCGCCGTCAAATAAAAAAAAGTCTTTGAATTGTCCTCAAGGCTGCCAAATCTTATTAGTATGTTGGAATAAATCCCCCTAGTTAAAATCAAGTTAAATTGGGAGAAATATTTTGTTTAATTTAACTTTTTCGGTGATTTGCTGGTTATAACCCTCTCATACAAGCCCAAACTCATTAACCAATTTAACTTATACTTGTTAAGATCTCCAAATCTGTTTAATAAACCTCTAACACAAACTCATTTTCACTTCATCTTCTCTAGCGTCTTCTCTAATGTCTTCCCCAACAGGAACTTATCCGATGTAAGTTTGGGATTAGAGCTGTAGAGAGTCGTTGGGAAAGATGCATATTGGAGAAGATGAAGCGGAAGATGCATTTGGGTTGGGGTTTTATTAAATGGATTTTGGGAGCTTAACGAGTATAAGTTAACGTGGTTAATTGGTTTGGGTTTATGTGAAGGAGTGTAACTGGTAAACTACAAAAAAAGTTAAAGTAAATAGAATAATAACCAATTCAGTCAGATTTAAATTAGGGGGGCTTATATCAATATACTAATGGGATTTAGGGGGTCTAAGATCAATTTCAAAGATTTGGGGGCTAATACCGAAATACTAAAGATGTAGTGGGGCCTGAGATCAACTTCAAAGACTTGGGAGCCTAATATTGAAATATTGAAGATTTAGGGGCAAATATCGAAATAACCCAAAAGGAAAGGTCCAATCCATTATTTCGTACAACCTAAAACCATAGAAAAGCAAAAGGTTAAAAAATAATAATGATGGTAGTTGCAAAAAGAAACTTAGGTTTTGGGGGTGATGAGGACATCAATCACTACACCAATCATACTTTGTATGTAGAAAAGCCTCTGCGTAGGCTTTCCCAAGCTTTACAGAGATCAAACTCCTAAGCCCCGAAGTAATCAAGAACTGCCTTTAGCATCATTGAATTCAATCAAGGCCCTTTTGGAGGTTTGGGCATTTTATAACAAGACAACATAAAGTTGCTAACATCATCACATAATCAACCTAAAGTTAAAGTTGTCTAAAGATTAAAGAATAATTGACAAGGGAGGGTCAGGAATAGTTGAAGAGATTCTAGATCATCTTGTTCTCATTTAACTTTTAAAACCTTTTTATCTCCATATTGATACTACAATTCTGGACTTGAGGTTTTACTTTTGTTTTTCTTTCCCCCATACTTTTGAGAAAACTAAAATGTAGGCCTTAGTTTATTAATAGTAAAGAATAACCGATGTTTACAAAGATGAGAATACATAATGATGGAGGATTAGGAATAAACTAGAAATTTCTTGGATCTCCTATTTGTATGCATCGGCAAATGATGAAGCAACGACTCCGAGAAATGACACTTTTCCTAAGGGTCTATTTGTTTGTCTAAAAAAAAGTGGGAAATCAAAGAAATGGAAAACTATTTCTAAGAAGAATTGTTTTGGGAGTGTTTGGTTTGCTAAAAAAAAAAGAAATCAAAGAAATGGAGATGAGGTGAGATGAGTTGTCACCTTTTTTTTTTTTGGGTCAATGAAAAGAGATTTTATTCATTACCAAATATAGAAATAGGGTACATCATGATACTCAATATGTGAGATATCCCTCATTATGATACAGGAACAAAAAACAAGCTATTTACAGGTTACAAAACTTGCATCAGGAGCTTAAAATCTTCCGAATGATCACTGTTGAGAATAATTGACAGAACATCAATTTTTATGTCTCTGATCAATTGCTCAACACTCTTACTGATTTGGCCAAAAATCCTTGCATTTCTTTCTCTCCATACACTATAAACAGTCGCTGCATACCATCCTCTTCACCTTATGCTTAAGTCCATTTCCCTTCAACCTGATGTTATACCAGTTTAAAAGTATACACCAGTCACAAGACCTCCATTTAAAATGAATCCAATCCATAATTCCATTCCAAACATCTCTTGAAAAGCTGCAATCGAAGAACAGATGATTTCTACATTCAGGAACTGCACCAGAGCATAATTTGCAGTTGTCACCTTATTATAGGATGATGTGAGTGATTTTTTAAAAAAAATTGTTTTGATGTTGTTTGGTTGGCGAAAAAAATAAGGAAATATATTATAAGAAACCTATTTCTTGTAATAGGTTGTTTTCTTTTGTTTGGTTCATACTTAAAAATAAGAAAATAGATGAGATGAGATAAGTTGTCATTATATTATTGGATGATGTGACCCACACTTAAGGAAATTATTTTCCTAGATTTTTGGGAGGAAATGAGTGAAAATAAAATGTTAATGAGATGAGATGAGTTGTCACTATCTTATTGGATGATGTGAGTGATTTGAAATGATAAAATGAGATGAGTTGAGTGATGTTGTTGATGAAAATAATATTTTATTAGATGTGGTTGATGAGTTGTTGGATGAAAATAGTATTTTATTAGATGTGGTGGATGTGGTGGATGAGTTGTTGGATGAAAATAATATTTTATTAGATGTGGTGGATGAGTTGTTGGATAAAAATAATATTTTATTAGGTGTTGTGGGTGTGTTTTATGGATGAAAATGGATGAAATTGTACTTTTTGAATTTTTTTTTTGCTTTCATTTCTATTTCTTGGTTTTTTAGGAAATAACCAAACAGGCCC